TCGGCTCCACGTTGATCGGCTCCACGTTGACCGAAACAATAGCCCTGTTCAGATCCGGTAGACGGCCGAAGAAGTCGTCGCCTTCGGACGCAGCCTCCACATACACTCCAGTTTGCCACTGGCGGTACGGGAGTTGCAGATGCTTGCAAAAGCACTCGGCACCGCGGTTGAGGTATGCATTGAGGAGGCGTAAGAAGCATCCGAGGAAGCACGGGTCTGATAACCGATACGCTTCCGGATGGTCAAACAACAGCCTGGCGACTTGAACGACCACGCCAAACCACTTACGACCCAACGTGCGATGCAAGTACGCCGCAAGTTCGATACCAAATGTGTTGAGGGTCTTGAACGGAGTTTTGCGGACGCGCCTGTCGAAATCCAAGTACAACTTTGGGCCTCGCTTTGTCTTCAGGAATAAGTTAAACAGCCTAGAAATTACGTCCAGTCTAAGGGTCTCCGGGGCGCTCATGGCATCAAGTCCAACGAAGTGGTTACCTACTTGGTCGCCGTACAGCAGTACATTGCTGAACGGAACTCCGTCAGGTACGACGTTTAGCCTCCTCATCCACATCGCGGCAGAACCTTTGGACACACGCTTCTGTAGGAGCGTTGCCAAGAACCATTGGTTAGTCACTCCAGCTGGTCGACCAGTCCGCTTCTCACACTCTTCTAGCAACGCCAGCATTCTGGTGCGATCCAGCCGGTCGTACAACACTCCTGCCAGTCGCCCGCACTCCAATGTGCAGAAAGAGACCGGTGGATTGGACTCATTTTGGCGAACTGTATTGCGGTAACGGAGGAGTCCTGTCTCAAGAAAGCCCATACATTCATCCAATACCTGTTGTCCGACACGAACAGGTGCGTTGGAAGGCGGCTTCAGGAAGTGCTCACGTAGCATGCGACTAATTAGTTGTTCAGCTTTCTTACTCGCACTGTCCATAACGTTCGTCACAATTCCACCGGCAGGACTGCTCTGGGTCTCGCCGCCCCTCCGCATCTGAAGGCCAGCAGACGCACACATGACTCGGCCGGTACCCAACATTACTTCGCTGCCGTAGCCGCTCAACGTAAGGATGTGAACCGACTTCGACAATCCTCCG